CCCCCCCCCCCGCCCCCGCTCCCCAACACACACACCCACACCCACGGATATAAGCCCACCTCTAGCTTTCCTTGTTTTGAATTCGTTTACAATGTTTTAAAGCTTAATTAATTACCAGTAAATGAAAAATCTTTTGCGATCAACATGTGCAACTATAGCTCGTTTCGAAACGGTTAATTTTTTATTCCGTTTATAAGCCTCCTCCCCGGATATAAACCCCTTCGTTTATAAGCCCATGTAAAAGTCCTTACAAAGTTGTATAAGCCCAAGGCTTATGAGCGGCAGTCGACGGTAGTTGCTAAATTAAAATGGCCATCCATGTTGCGCAAAAAAAGCACGGTAATCCCGTTTCTTTGAGACCTTTTTTACAACATAACATAATTACCGAGCCACTGGTGGAAGTCTTTAATACTCCTTCGTTTTCGATGGAATACTTGACCTTAATTAAGTAGAAATCATGTTTCTTTTCTCGTCTTAATTAACACAGCGGAAAAAAACTCCCAAAAATGAATTGAACTCCACTAATATCTTTTCAAATAAGAAAGTTGAGAATGATAGCTAGTTGAGGATATTTTTTTACATATCGACAGAGCCAATAATATGGTCTAATGAACTATTATTCCATTGAAAAGTATGGTAAATATATGATCGTGTTACGCTCTGAAATCTTAGAATGTATTTAAGAGTATCTTCATCCATAACCCTTAAAAATTTCTGTTTTTTTTTGCTGCTGTTTCTAGGTGTTCGGTAACCAACGCCTTTGCAGCAAAATAAGCAAAGAGAAGTACGGAACATTATATATGGTTTTTAAGAAGAGAAAATTGACTTTTCAATTATGACAAGTTTTTCATTGCCAGGTGACAACCCTTGGCTTTGTAGCGTGATATGTGTAGATTTTTTTACAGTATTCAGCAAACGAAAATCGTATATATTCAGCGTTATAGTCGAGGACATTCAAGCTGGGGGCATTTTAAGACTTGGATAAGTAAATACAGCCTATAGAATCCTGTCCTGCAAAATTTCACTTGATATTAAATAAGATGATTTGATTCTATGGTGGAAAACTTTCAAATTTGTAGTTTTCATACCCTCAATTAACTAAGCACAATCGATCACTGCTGGTAAAAACTACCACATTTGCTAAAAAGCAACAAGCTCGGTCAAATTGAAATTCAAATTTGAAAGAGCTGTTCCTCATAATAATTCATAAAGGATACTTGATCAACTTGAAAAGTTCTATTGTTATGAAATAGCACACAAAGAAAAAAGAGTTAAAGGGTTAATGCAGCAGAAAAATTTAACTCAAGTAGGAATATCGAATGGTCCCATTAGATTTGAAAGTGCTCGTAAAACTTGGCCTCTGCTCGAATTGCTCGCTATAATTAGATGAGTGCTCGCTTGCTCGTGCTCGCAAAATTTTTGCAATTACTCGCATGCCCGGATTATCGTTAAAATTCTCTGCTGTATAACGGAAGCATAATTTGCACCTTGGAAACAAAAACTGATGCTGGAAACAATGGTTCCCGTATGGCAAAACTGAGAAACATTGGGGAAACATGCATGCTCTATAAAGACTATGAATGTTTCTGGAAAAATGCTTCCTCGTTTTGTTGACGTTTTAGTAAAACTGATCGGCCAGAGTTCACTCCCAGGTAGTAGGGTAACCCTACCTGAAACATTTTGCTTGTAAAATCTTTGACCCTCTTGGTAGGGCAACTCTAGTGCTAGGGTTACCCTACCCTTCAGGACCCTACCCACCCACTGACCCGCGTTAAGCTAAGTGACGTAACTTTGCATCAAACGGCATCAAACAAGGCAAAATTGCTTGTAAGCAGCTGGGAATGTCTTGGTTGAACCGCGATAAGATCTTAACGTGTTGCCTAGCTTTGCGTTTGTTGTCCTGTTTTGGAGTTGTCAGCCAGAGTACTTCGCGCTAAACAACTTTTTAATTAAAGAGGGATTCCAGCTAGCGGAAAATTTACGAAGTGCTCGCCGCTCGCCATCTGTATTTTCTAAAGTGCTCGCTGCTAGCACATAGTTAGTAGAGGAGACTACTATGGCTAGCATGACAAAATTGATCACTGCTCGTGCTCGCAAAAATAAACGCACTTGCTCGCACGCTCGCAAATGCTCGCAAAGACTATTCGATACCCCTTCAAGTATTTAACCTGAACATGAAAAAATTGTACCACGCCATAGAAAATACAGCCAATCAGAATACACGAAAGCCGTTGTATTTTCGGCGGTATTACATCCAACCTTCCCATCATGCGCCACGCATCCCGGGAGGGGGATTAACATATAAAAAAGACGGGGGTGCTCGTCGGAAACCCCTAAGAGGTACCAAGATCCTATTTGTGGGCGTGGCTTGAATTTTTTTTTTATCCCTATTAGGTACCAATTCTAACTTGACAAAATTAAAAATTAGTTGATTTTCTAACATCTCCTGTCATATTTTTTCGGCTCAATGGTCTAAAAGGTACCGCAAAAGCTCTCGCTGGGGACCTTTTGAACCTGAACACCCTGAGAGGTACAAAAACCGCTTTTTAAACCCCTATACGGTACGAACAGCACCACTGTCCTTTTTATATATGAGTCCCCCCGGCGCGCATATGTCACATTGATTGTGTTTATAGCCACTGTATTGCATGGTATAAAATAGTTATAGAATGCTCTCTCGTGGTATACAATAGAATATCCCACTAGTCACTTGTATTTTCTTGGTTGGCAAGAGCCTAAAGATCCCTAAAGGCTCGCGTGTACGTATGTACCTAGAAAATACTATTGACTCGCGGGATATTCCATGGCCGTACCACGAGAATTAAAGCATTGCATAACTAGCATGTATCTGAGCGTGTAGATTCGTTCATTGCAATACTAATTACAAGCCACTGCAACTGACTTAGACTATGAACACAGTCAGCTCTCATCTTGAGGTGACTGAAGCAGGCTACAGTTGATGTGGTGAGAGCCTTCGAGCAGCCTTCGTCGCTCGTGGCGTAGCACCTCGAAGAGCCTGCTGGCGGGCAGGTCGCGGGCTAATGCAGTGGCCCCGTCTTTGGCCCGGCAACGCAAAAGATTGTTCTCAACATAAGATCGTACATGCGCTTGATTTTATACCAGGTCAGCCATCTAAATTGACGACAAAATAATGACCGAGATGTCTTCCGCACAGTGGTCGAGACTCTCCCCCCAAAAATTATTATTTTTACACCAGGTTTTACAGTCTGCGATATTACAACAACTTTGACAAACACTGAATGGTTAACTCACAAGTGGGGAAATCTCGGAGAAAACTATGGAGGTATATCTATGACAAAATTCAGTACTCAGTACGGAATTGATATCAAATTATCCAAAATGTACATGCATCAATTAAAAGCTGAATGGCAACTAGCCGATTCTACAAATGGTCATTAAGCAAACAGGCATCACGCTAAAAGGCATCACGCGAAAAGGCATCATGCTGATAGGTATCACGCCTAAAGACATCATACGAAAAGGCATCAGCAAAAAGGCATCACGCTAAAAGGCATCACGCTAAAAGGTATTACACTTACTAAAAGGTATCACGCGAAAAGGCATCACACAAACAGGTATCACGCAAAAAGGAATAACGCTTCTGCTTGTGTCCCTACACGTAATCTCCCTCTGGCACCATGATAAAGGAGAGGTGTAGCTGCAGTAGTGAATTCATGTTCATGAAGTTCTTGTACTATTGCCAATGTCCTACGAAGAAGGCCCAGCACTTGTCCGCCATCTTGAAAAATACTAGTCGATCTCAAAAGGACGTCAATTACATGTTCTAAACGGAAAGAAATGCAATCGTTTTCGATTCCAGAGCTCACTTGCTGTATAATAACTCTCTCAAGGCACGCCTCAGGTACTGAATTAAGACCACGCGAGGGGACAAAGAAGGTATGTCTCGCTCAAAAACCATTTTGAGAAGGCTGTTATCTTACAAAAAACGAGTACGAAAAGTAAGTCCCGGATATAATTTTTGTCTTTTCGCGCGATGAGTTTTCGGTTGATGCCTTTTGGCTTGATGCCTTTTCGCGTGATACCTTTTTGCGTGATGCCTTTTCGCGTGATGCCTTTACGCGTGATGCCTTCACGCGTGATACCTTTTCGCGTGATGCCTTTTTGCGTGATGCCTTTCAACGTGATGCCTTTTCGCGTGATGCGTTTAGCGTGATGCCTGTTTGCGTAATGACTATTTGTAGAATCGGCTAGTTGCCATTCAGCTTTGGATAATAGATGCATGCACAAATATTATCAATTACTGAGTATTGAATTTTGTCATAGATATACCTCCATAGAATTTTATCACAGATATACCTCCGGGGCGCTTATTTCAAATTTAGGAGAAAACGTGGTCGCGTATTTGAGGGGGCACTTAACCGAGTGGGCGGAGCGGGGTAGGGACGCTTATTTAATTTCCCCCAAATCGTGGCCTGACATGATCATTTTTTTAATGCATCATCTGCGCGTAAACAACGACATAAGCTGTTTATTGACACAAAAAGCTGATCCTACAGTTTGAATCGCTGCATCAACGTGTGAAACAACGTACAAATCTAATACTGACATGACGAAGACTATACATCCTTTGTTGTCTCATTACTCGTCTAAAAAATGAGGGGAGGGGGCGCTTATTCGAGGGTAGGTAGAGGGGGCGGCGCTAACTTTAAATTTCGGCCGATATGCTGAGGGGCGCTAATTCGAAGGAGGCGCTTATTCGAGGGGGGGCGGGGGGCGCTAATTCGGGAAAATGGAATGAAGAGCGGCAAAACCCGTCGTGCCAGTCCTACTCTGCGTCAATCATCTTCTGCAACGATCGATCTCGGTGGACTCTTTCAGTTCTTTCTTCCCCGATTTTTCTCCGCCACAGTAAGATGGGAAGTTTCGAAATGCACGTTGACGTAAACTTTGCACATTGTAAAGTAAACCAGGTCAGAGCGGAAGCAATTCCAATGCATCAGCAGAGAGCACATCTCGACCTTCCAAGGTACACAGGTAAATGTGTCACTTGCTTACTAACGTGCTGTTTTCAGATCCTGGACTACAGGCAGACGACTCTTGATTGGGAAGTTATTGTATCAGGTGTTCTTTTTTTCTCCTTCCCGCTGCTGTAAAAAAGAAAGAACGCCTGATCGTAGGTTATACACATTTGTTTTTATTGTCTTATATTAATCATCATAATCTGAAACAAAGGGAAAAATAAATCAAGCTGATTTCAAAAATTTTAGATCAATGAAAATTTTGGGCCGCAACATATATATGAATTTTAAAATAAAATTTTGAAATAAAATTTTAAAATATTTGAAAATAAAAATACTTGTGAGCAGCAGGCAACAACAACCAATGATCTGGTACAACTGAGTTTATCAATTGACCGGTTTCGTCTGCTAGTGAGACTTCGTCAGGATAAAACTACAAGATACTTGTAAAGATGGAACTTACTTTATACTAAATATTAGTAGTACAAAGTACACTCCTATTATAGGTTGAAAACAAAAAAACACGGATTTAATGTTAAATCTGTGAGCCCCGCTTACATTACATTGCACATTTTCTAGCACAGGATTTTAGTCATATATCCTGCACGTATTTCTTGTGGGTGTTTTGTTGTTCACATCCTACAGTAGGAATGTACTTTGTACTACCAATATTTAGTATAAAATAAGTTCCATCTTTGTATCTTGTAGTTTATTAAATCCTGACGAAGTCTCACTAGCAGACAAAACCGGTTGATTAATAAAGTCTGTTGTGCAAGATCATTAGTTGTTGCTGCGTGCTGCCCACAAGTATTTTTATTTTAAAATATTTTAAAATAATTTTAAAATAGTCTCTTTGTAATACACAGTTCTAGACTGCAAGCCTCTGGCAAAGAAATTCCCCGGTTCGGATACGTTGGGATACCGAAGAAGCAATTCTGGTCCAAGACACCACGTACCGGGGAAGTTTTCAGAGTCAACGATCGGTTATTGTTTAGCTAATATCCCCACCTTTCCCAGGTTGGGGGGGGGGGGGGGGGGGGGGGAGGAAGGAGAATCGTCGCTATGTACATATTTCATGCTAAAGATCATGCTATAGAACAAGGTATACACAAGCGTACANGGGGGGGGGGGGGGGGGGGGGGGGGGGGGGGGGGGGGGGGGGGGGGGGGGGGGGGGGATTTACTTTGACTGGTACATTATGCTGAAGAGCTCTTCATGATGTAACTGTCATTAGTTTTTTTTTTGGCGTTATTGTTTCTCTAACTCTGTATTTTATGCAATTGTTGATAATAATGAGTATAATCCATGAAGTATTTTTGTTTGTGCATGACTGGTCTAAATACATCACATGACAAAATATACCTCGGCTAAAACTGGGGAATATTCAAGTATTCAAGTGATATTCCCCAATTTTCAAAACGGCCTGTGTTGAAAAAAAAAACAACAACAACAAAAAACAGTTGAACTACAGTAGGAGAATATACACAATAGCCTCCATTTGGTGTGAAAATACGCTACTGAAGATATATTTGTCCTTGGAAATTATCTGTTCCTCAGACATCACTTTTTCCTTGAGCTACGCTCTCGCACACTTTCACTTCTAGGAACAGAAAATGTCCACAGACAAATATCCCGGCATATTTTGGCCTAAGTGGAGGCTATTGTTTATTTATATTATCATAATTTGATAAATAAATGTTATGGCATGAGAGATGATTGGAAATTGAAGACTGATTTTTTTTTGCCAAGTTCCCCTCGCCCTTAGTCATTAGGCCAAATGCTTTTGGAGACCCTCTTTCTTGTCGCACTTTTTCTTTCAAGGCTTTTTCTTGATCACCTTACCCCTCAACCTCTTATTGAAGAATGATCCCTTAAAAAATTGGGCTTTTGAGACTCCATCTACCTCTTGGAATTTCTAGTGGCCTTTTGTGGGGTGTATGTGTGACAGTGTGTGCGTATTTTATGGTAATTGGCAAAGTAGATACGTCAGATGAAATATTAGGTGTCTTGATGCAAGACATGTCAGCTGCCATCTTTATTTTAAAGAGCTGTGGTGTAGCACAATGAAGCACATGTATGCACGTAAAGTTTTGAATGACATGATTGATATGGAATTGGCCTTGGGAGGGTATCAAATATTTGAAATTGATATTAATTTCTGGAACATTCATCAACGTACATGTGGGTGTGCCTAATATGTTATGGGCATTAATCTTCAGATAGCAGGAAGTTTTTCTTGCGGCTCTCCAATGCATTTTGTGATAGAACCACTTTGTGGCCGAACAAATATTGAACAATAATTGCAGTATTGTAATTGCGGGGATAGTGTTTTAGTATTATTTGCAAAAGCTCCCATACATCATTAATAAATCTGGAGGAAAGTTGACAAGTCAGATGAAATATTAGGTTTCCTGATGCAAGACATGCCAGCTGCCATCTTTATTTTAAAGAGCTGTGGTGTAGCACAATAAAGTGCATGTATGCATGTAAAGTTTTGAATGGCATGGAATTGACCTTGGGAGGGTATCAAATGTTTGAAATTGATATAGAGCATTCATCAATGTACATGTGGGTGTGCCTTATGTTATGGGCATTTATCCTCAGACAAAAGGAAGTTCTTCTTGCTGCACTCCAATACATTTTGAGACAAAACCCTTTGTGGCCAAAAGAATATTGAACAATAATTACAGTACTGCAATTGTAGGGATAGCTTTTAGTATTATTTGCAAAAGCTCCCATACATCATAATCTGGAGTCAGAATGACAAAAACAACAGCTTGTGTAAAGCTTCCCTGTTATATTTGACAGAAACATCAACTATTGGCTGTTTAAAGTAATAATGTATGCAGCACTTTTGGTGACTTGTATGCAGGTGTGCTTATTAATGTTTTGGAAATAAATCTTCAGACAATGGGAAGTTTTTCTTGCAGCACCTCAATGACAACACAGGTACTGCAGTAATTGCAGGAAAAGCACAATATTATTTTTGCAAGCACTTAATATATACTTTATATAATTTGAACTTGAAAATAAAAAAAAAGATCAGGAACATCTAGATCTGGCATTAACATGCAGGTGTGCCTAAAATGTTTTTGACATTGATTTTATCTTCGCATGACAGGAATTGTTTTCTTGTGACATTTTAATACATTTTGAGACTGAACCACTTGGTGGCTGAAGGAATATTGAGCAAATTAACAGGTGCACTGTAATTAAATTTTTTATTTGTTTTGAGCAAAAAAAACTACCAGTATTTTTGTTGTAGAAGTTCCTTTTTCCTTCCATCAATTTTAGCTACGTTTTGGCTATACCACAAAATGTTACTTCTTGACTTAAAGGCGATGTAAGGATCCTTAACTCTTGTGGGTCAATTTGGTTTAATCTACTAGTAAGTTTTATTTTATGGAAGCTTTAAAGGTAAAAACAAATGACATACATGCGTTGTTGCTGAATTAAAGCTGTAATCGTTGTCTTCAGTATTTTGTTGGGAGTCAGTTTTTTATTTCAATCAATACTAAGACAAACTGAACTGAACTTTCATTAATTGTGCAGATGAACTGTGTACTTTATATTAACATTATAAAAATTGTGTTTTTCAGTGGGTAGCACCACATATTGGAGGAGCTGAAATTTCCTCTTCTAGAAAGGTAATTAATGTAAATTACATCTCATCATTATCTAAGACTCGATTTTTGCACTCACAAACTCCCAAAACGTGAGTCACTTTTAAAGTTGACGAACCTAAACTAAATATTAAATGTAGTAGCAAGCATTTGTAACAAAACATTTTTCATTATCATTTTGAAAGAAAAACAGGGAGAATTCCTGGTAAATTCAATTTCAACCAGTTGGTAAGTAACTGAACCCTACTATTTCCAACTCTGAGGGAAAAAGAGAAATTGTTCGATTTGGGGATTAAATTTGAAAATAACAATTAATACTTAAATTAGTTATGAGTTGATGGGAGCTAGGCACAGTGGCCTCATGGATATAGTAATGTACTTGTCTCCACATCAACTGACCCAGGTTCGAGCCCTGGCCAAAGACATTGTGTTGTGTTCTTGGGCAAGACACTTTACTCATACAGTGTCTCTCTCCACCCAGAAAGTTATTAATCAACCTGATGGATTGAATTCAGTTATTGCCCAAGGGTTAAAAGAAAACACCTAAGGACATGGAGTCATTGAAACATTGTGTAAAACTTCCTTCGCTTTTTGTTTATCCTTAAATGTCTAATCTTATTCGAAGAATAAAGTGTAATGAAAACCCAAATGTTAATCTAGTTTTCCAGACATCATGATGATGTTTTTTTTTTTCAACTCTGCCAGTAGAAATCAGTTTAAACTAGTGGAGACTTCGAAATACCGAGTTTGAAATAGCCAATAGTAAATGATTGAAAAAACTAGCCTTAGGGCAAATCCAATGAAAAATGAGTTTCCAGAGTTCTAAATAATGGGAGGAGGAAATGATTGAGTTCATATTGGCGGGTCCAACTGTATTTCAATAGGTCACGTTCGATATATCAATATTCTGTCATGGCTCCGAGGCTTTCAGGATAAACTTCTATATTTGGTGTTGTTTTCTTTGTATCCAAGTCTCTTTTGGGAATTGAGAGACAAAAGAAACTTATTATAAAAGAATTACAATTTTGACCCTAAAGCCTCAGAGCCATGTTAGAATATTGATATATTGAACGCGGCCTATTCCAAATGAGAAGAGGAACTTGGGGAGGCTCGAGTTTTAGAAAATGCTTCACATGATGACATGAGCAATCATATATACAGTGTACATTTATGTAGAACTCATTTAGGCTGGCTTACAAACTGTGTTTTGCAATTTAAAAGTAACCTTAAATACAACACTGTTACAATTCAAGTATTGCCATTTTGATTTGTTTTGCTATTATGATGTCGTGTTTTAATGCTGGTTTGGTGTTTGTTCTGGATGATTCTTTATAGGAAATGTTGAGATGCATCAGCTACTTATAATTTTCCTACTGGAAGTCTCATATTCTGGTCCATCAGCTGGTAAGTACAGTACATGTTAAACATTTTTAAGGTGTAAATTCAATGTACATGTATTACCTCTTACTAACTGAGTTTGAGGTACGTGTACATGTGTACATGTATTGTAAGTTACAAACCAAGTTTTTCTCCCCTTTGATTTAGCATGCAAGTACGAAGCATGCGGGCCATGATTTAAGGGAAAAAAAATGTGGATCGATTCCGTAACTTATAATATGGACTGAGAAGACAAGATTAGTTATAATCTCCGACCAGCCCTGTCTTGTGCCCCACCCCTGGGTTCTGTCCAGCTGGCCCACTCCTGATCCTATCTGGGCTCCTTCTCCATTGTCCTTCTCCATGTGATCTTTGGCTATCCCACTTGCCTCTTTCCATCAGGCTGCCACTCCATCACCACCATGCAGTCATTATTCCTCTCCATTCGGAGCACATGTCCATTTTCTCCTTTTGATCTCATCACTGATCTTATTCATGCCTATATTCTTTCAGATATTGTCTTGTTTCTAACGTGTTGTGTTCACCATATTCTTAGGATCTTTCTCAGGCACATGTATCATTTGGAATCTATCCAGCCTCTTCTCTACTGTTGTAAGTTGTTATTTTCCAGGCTTCACATCCATACTATAGTATGGATGCTGAGCACACCAGTGTCTTTCGTGCTCCGACCATTTTTTTGTGAGATCTTCATCATCAGGTTTAAAAACCCTTCATCTACATCTTCCACTTCCTCATGTCCAGTCTTAACTTTCTCTTTATCTTTGTGCATTCATTCTCATCACTTTCCTTGCATTCAGCTTCAGTCCCAATCTTCCTGCAATGTCTACCAGTTGGTCACTCTTGTTCTGAATGTGCTCATACTTTGATGAAACAAGGACTATATGTATATTGTCAGCAAAATCAAGAATACACCTTTGAAGTTGCTTCTGATGCTCTTTCCCTGCCCTTCTGTTGTCCTTATGTCATCTAGTCCACTGTGAGCAAGAACAGGAACCCTGACTTGATGTAACCTTCTTTAACACCCATGATGACCTTGAACCATCTTGCCAGCTCTCCCTCATCTAGTAAGTACTGAACATTTAACACACATGAACTTCACCATGCTTATCACCTTGTCAAGGATGCCACAGGCGTTCATGATTCTCCACAGTTCTTCACGGTGTATTGATTACCCTCCCCATTACTTTGCTGTCTACAGGTACTGTAACACTGTGTCCATGCTAGTTTTAACACTCTTGATAAGATCTCAGTTTTAGGAAGCTTGGATATCAGGCCTTTCTTCCATTTTTTCAAGTACCTTCTCTGCCTGCCATGTCTTGTTGAACAATCTTGTCAGTTCTTTTACTGCATGATGTTGCTGTCTGTTTTGTTCAACTCTACTGGGATCTTATCAATTCCTGGTACTTTTTTTGCTTGTGTTGCCTCACCTCTGCATCTCTTATCTCATTCGCGTCCATCTTGCCAATGTCATCTGTGTCCACTTCGTGTTTTTCAGTTGGGTTCATCAGAGCTTCTCTGACTGGTATCTCCTCAGTGTGTTCAGTACATCTTTCAAGGCAAGTGTCCTTGTCTTTTATTATCCCACCATTCTTGCTCTTGATTGCTGGAACTTGCCAGTTCTTGACTAACTATCGGCCTGAGAACAGTACGGACCTCGCTGCACTCAGTCCCTACAAAAAAGGCAGAGGGCTGATTTTCTCCCAGTACAGTCCTGAGTAAGCTTAACTAGTATAATAAGACATTTACTACATGACTGAAACTTCCTGAAAATCTTCAAGAGTAATCTTGTGGGATCACTTGGTAGAGTGACCAGTCCAGTCAACAATTGGCTCATATATGCAGACTTACTTGGTCAGTAAGTCTGCATATATGAGCCAAGTGGCCCAGCAGGCCGGAGCTTATCCTGGTTTCTGTCGCATGTAGTGACTAGGAGTACTTCCACTCCCCCTGGATGGGATGCTAGTCCATTTCAGGGCTACCCCCAGCATTAAGTTCTCCGGTACCCATTTGTACACCTGGGTGGAGAGGGGCACTGTGAGAGTAAAGTGTCTTGCACAAAAACACAAGTCAACGTAATGTCCGCGGCCAGGGCTCAAACCCAGACTGCTCGATCTGGAGATGAGCACACTAACCATGAGGCCAGCGTACCTCCGACACACAGTCCAATATGTAGAGAATATATTGGACTGGCAATGGAGCAATCTGATTGGTTGATTTTAGTTATTGGCCCCCTGAACTAACTAGTCATGCAATAAATGTATTTGTTATATCTCTTCTGTGTCTTGGATGGGTTTGGTTAACCTGCGATCAGGGGTTCTTTCTTTTTTTTTCTTCTGCTGACCTTTCTCCTGTCGTGGGATAAAAAAAAAGAACGCCTGATGGTAGGATAGGGTTTGGTAGACATTTCAGTTCATGCAGAGTGGCTGCAAATGACTGATGTACATCAAAGTAAAATTGTGACCTTCCATAGGAAACTGTACACTAACGCTTAACCGTTAAACGGGTAAAAATTAACGCCAAACAAACGGGTGCCTAACAACTTTTCAAAGCGTTTAAACGGTATTGTTAACGCTTTGAACGTCTAAGCGAAAATTTCTAACGATTCACCAAAGCGTTCTAACGCCTGGTCTTGATTTTCCGAATGACTTATGGCAACGTTTCTAACGGATAGGCTAAACGACATAAACAGCTTTACAGATCGAACTATCAAACGGTTTGGTAAAACGTTTGATTGAAAGATCTTAACGCTTTGCGTACATGTTAGAGAAAAAAATTAATTTCCACAAATAAACAAAAGGGCATCGCAATGCTTTGTGTCAGGTAAAATCATTCCGACAAGGCATTTCAGTGAGCTTAAATTTGATGAAATATTTTACGTAGTCACTGTAGCTCATTAAAGACGCACCGATACATTTTTAAATGATGAATATTGTTTATTACTTACCGAAACTTACTTACGTTTATAAAGGTAAACAGTGTTCTTGATCTACAAAGGATGGACAGGTTGTGCTGATAATCGAAATTCGCTGCTGTAAAATAACGATAACTGTCGCATATTTCCCACTCCTTAAACCAAACTAAGCATCAGCATTGCGAGCGACTTTTTGTAGAGGTCTCTTTCTTCACTTTTGTGTCCGTAATATTGTTAAACTGTGAAATCTTTCTGCGTACAAGTCGAAAACCCGCGAACCCTTCTGCAAGTCGTGAATCAACATTGTGCCCAGGACACCCCGATTATAGTATTGTCATAGCAACCAATTGTTTGATCCCAGGGCCCCGCTATGTAAATCCTTCAGGACCAGAATAGTGGAGAGAGGAAGGAGAGAGGAGACTTTTCTAGCTCAAAACTACTCGGTCTACGAAGTGTTTTGTGCGGAACTTATCAAACCGCGTTCCAAATGTTTTCAAATATGTTAAGTTTGTAAAAGTAAACACCACAAGGTGTGTGGAGTTCACCATGTTTAGTCTCTGTGAGCCTGGCAATTACTTTCGTGCCAAATTGATGCAGTTTCTCAGGTCACGGGACTTTTGTCAGTGTTTTTAAGGCGATCCGGTTTCGGTTGGATGTAAACAAAAGGAGTAGCCTTGTCGACAACGATGTGATCACAAATGAGACAGATATGATGCATATAATACTTTATTGTTATGGTTTACAAGTAGCTTAGCAACACTCCAAATTTATTGAAAAGTTACTATTTACAAGTGAGATTAAACGCGAATTTTCCACCTTGACACGGCTTGACTGTGCAAATCTAAAGGCTCTACATTTCGCATTTATCTCTCCTTTAACAGCTCGCCAGTATTTGAGTTCATCCTCGTTCGCTCCAACGGGAAACTTCGTGAAAATCAAAACTGAAGAAAAGAAAGATTAAATTGATAAACAAATAGAATTGCTTAAGACACTGTCACCATTTTTAGCATGATTTTGGAAATCTCAAAAACATATCGATCTTTCGAAGCTGAAATGAGGGTGACTAACGATGGCGAGGATGGAAACGGATTATGACATGTTTTTTTGAAAAAGCGTCACGATGTCAGTTTTCAAAGGTTCAAGTTTGGCAAAAATCCTTGAAATTTTGCAAAAATGTTGCTGCAGTGTGGACTTTCTTCAAGAAATTACTTTTAATCATTTAGTTAGAGCTAATTAAGTTTCTATTACATAAATTTAGGGACCATTTCGTGAATTTATAACACTTTTAAGCAAATATATCGTGACAGTGTCCCTTTAAGATTGTAATCTCTTGTTTTGTGTGAAAGCACCCTGTTCTCATACTGTGCTGACAAGATTTAAAACATGGCTACTTTATTACAAAATATTCACAGTAATTTACCTATCAGTGAGTGAAGTTTAGTCCGGTCAGGTGCGTCTTTGTTGAAGTTTCCATCAGTGTTGCCTACTGCGAGCTCCTCTTTTGAAAAGAAGTAGGGCAGCAGCTCAATGGCGCATCTGTGGTGTTGTTTTTCACCCTCTAGAGTCTGACGGACTTTAGGCACTTTCCTTGGTGTCACGCAGCTTCTGATGAGTTCATCTGTCACGGGACCCGCTGGACCAGGGCTGCTGGAAGCAGGATGCTGTGATGGAACATTCTGGATGACTGGACTGATTGGTTGTAGGACCTCATGCAGTCTACTAAAAATCTCTGTGTCGATTGTTTGCAAATCTGCAGACTCGTCTATGAACCCGCCTGCCGATGCTGAAGTTTCGTTGAGCTATGGAAAGAGAGAAAAGAAAAAGAGACAAAATTTCATTCTCCAACAGGAGGGCCTGGTTCATGCGTGTGAACAGAACTACTTCATGATTTGTGCCAATTTACACTTACACTATAGGTGACTGATACTTAGGAAATAGAAAACATGTACTGTGTTTCTATCGAGTTTTAGATTATTCGCTCTCGATTTCTATGCGTGATAGTTGACATGGAAGGTCACAGTTCTTTAATTCAATTCAAGTTAGCATGTTTTAATACATGGTGTCAAAGTTTTATGAAAACTTGCCTATATATTATTACGAGACATTGTTGCAATGAAAACAGCTGTAGCAAGACAGAAATTCTTACTGAGGCATGGTCACAACAGATACTTGTATGTGTATATTTAAGGTTAATTCTTGTTAATAATTAACTTTTATCTTATCATTTTCATGTGGATGTTGGGGATCAAATCAGATGCTCAGGGTAAGTATCTTTATTACTTGGTTGTCTTCAGTTTCTTACTTTTTTGATTTATTTCCTGTAAGGTACAGAATATAAATTTCTTTCAAAAAAGTTATATAACCTTCATGTTTTCCTTTCCATGTGGATGTTGGGGAACAAAATATTATCTTTCATTTTAAAACTCTTTTGAATCTGAAATAACACAATAAAGCATTCAATTACTTTTTAGGAGATGTTAATTCCTGTAATAATTTATCTTCATTTTTTTCATTTTATTGTTGATGTTAGGGAACACACCAGGGTGTAGTAAGTATCTTTTTACTTACAACTTATTTTCTAGTTACTTAGTTAGTGGCCTTGTGTTTCTTACTTTTTTGATTTATTTGTTACAAGGTACATGATATTAATTCCTTTTTGTCAATTAACTAATTTTCATCTTTTCCTTTCCATGTGTTTGCTGGGGAACAAAATTATCAGGTTGTAAGTATCTTTTTACTTCTCATTTCATCACATCGATTTCTTGTGAACCAATTTCGTTGATGTAAAAGTCACCTAGTGGTCTTGTGTTTTTCTTTAAAGGAAATCTTGAGTGAAAAGCAGTCCAAGTTCCAATTAAAGTATACCTAATGGTTCTCTCAAACTGATACTAGGGTTCTAAGTTGATATCTCTGCAAGTGGTTTGAATATGAAGTGTTTGGTTTTCAGTTTAAATCACCTGGCCGTCTCCATATTTACTTTATGGTAATTTTTGATGTCATTATTCGGTCAAAGATCTCAATATGGAGTCTACAGAAGAAGATTTTCACCTTGAAACTGAACGTATATATCTCCAATGTGAATTGCAAACAATTAGAAGCACTTTTTAACACCTCTAAATTCACGCAGTGCTGTATCTTAGAATGGCTGACTGCGCATTTACGTCATAATTTCCCATCAAATTTGCAAAAGTAAATTAACATAGCAGCACGCTGGAAATTTGAAACCCTAAAATAGCTGAAAGGAAACGGCCAGCATTCTAAAAAGGCAAAGAATTATTGACCTCAAATAGCGTGAACTATTTCATTTAGTGGAAAATATTGTTCAATTAAAAACTATTTTGACTTTTAAATGACAATAAAATATTTATTCCGATTAATAATTGATTTTCATCTTTTCCATTTTATTTTCCATGATGGGGAACAAATTAGATCGTAAGTATTATTGCTGTTACTTTTCAATTCATCATGTCAATTTCCTTTGAACCAATCTATTTAACTTGATGTTACCTACAGCGTAGTAGTCATGTGTTTCTTTTCTTTAATGAAGTTCTTTAAAGGAAGAAAATTTCATCTTTCAGTTAAAAACTAACTTCAGTCTGAATCTGAAACAACCCAATAAAATTCTAGTTCCTATTAACAGTTAAATATTTTAAATTTCTGTTACTAATTGATTTTGATCTTTTCTATTTTATTGTTGATGTTGGGAATAAATCAGAGAGTAAGTATCTTTTACTTGGTACTTATAATTTCCCATTGCTTGGAGGTATTTTGTTTCTTATTCCATTGATTTATTTCTTTTAAGGAACGATATAAATCCCTTTATAATTAATTTTCATCTTTTCTTTTAATACCATTTTTTTCTAGAAATAAATTTTCCCAATCAATAAATTCGTTAAAGAGAAAAAATTTCTTTCGATTAAAAACTATTTTGAATGATAAATAATGCAATAAAATATCAATTCCTGTTAGCAATAAAATATAATTCCTGTTAATAATTGACTTTCATCTTTTCCATGTTATTGTTGTTGTCGGGAACAAATCAGGCTGTAAGTATCTTAGTTTTCACTTCCCACTTATTTTCCAGTTACTTGATTGTCTTCTCTATCTTATCTTTTGATTTATTTCTCATAAGGAAGAGAATATAAATTCCTTTTAATAATTTCTTTTCATCTTTTCCTTTCGTGTGGATGTTGGGGATCAAATCAGGTCGTAAGTAACATTCTTTATTCTTCACATGAATTGATTTTGAACCAATTTACTTATGTGAAGTTATCTAGCTGGTCGTGTCTTTATTTAACTCAATAAAATGCTAATTATTATTAACAGTTATATCTTGTAAATTTGTGTTACTAATTGATTTTGATCTTTCCCATTTTATCGTCAATGTTGGGGAACAAATCAGCTAGTAAGTATCATTCTTCTACCTTTTCAATTCATGACATAACTTTCTCCTGAACTAGTGTACTTAATGAAGATTCACATGTACTTAGCGGTCAGATTGTGTTTCTTTGTCTATAATAAATTTCTTAAAAGGAAGAAATGTTATCTTTAAGGGAAAAACTATTTGTCAATCTGAAATAAAACAATAACATTAATTCATTTTCATCTTTATATTTCCTCTATCCTTGCTGGGGAACAAATCAGCTGGTAAGTACATATATATTTTTTTACTTTTCAGTTAATCACATCTAGTTTTTTTTGAACCCTATGTATATGCCTAGTGGTCTTGTGTTTCTCTTTCTTTATTGAATTCCTTGAAAGTTGAAAATAATAATTATTATTACATGAATCTTTCAAATAAACTGTTTCAAATCTGAAGTAACACAATAAAATATATAATGATAAGTCCAGTTAATAATTTATTTTCCTCTATTCCTTTCCATGTGTTTGTTATGGAACAAATCAGGACGTAAGTATCATTATTTTTACTTTTCAATTCACCACATCAGCATCTTTTGAATGAAGCTATAACGTAAAGTTGTAAACCTAGTAGTCTTGTGTCTCGTTTTCTCTAATAAACTTCTTCAAAGGTAGACCATTTTTTGTGTCAATTAAAACATATTTTGAATCTGAAAGAACAAAAGAAAATACGTACTCCTGTTGGATCAACCTTACCATTACTGAACATTAAGATTCTACTGAAATGCTCCTTCCTCCATGGGCTTTTAATTTACACGCTAAGAAATCTTGCATGCTCTGCATGCCTATGTTGTTTTTAGTGTTAGGTGACAAATCACACTCTAAGTATTTTTTTACCTCTTAGTTTCCAGTTGCTTGGCTGCCTTCTGTGGCCTACCTTTTTGACTGATTTATCATAAGAAACAGAATATAAATCTTTTAATAACTAATTTTCATCTTTTCTTCGCTGAAGTTTACTTTTATAAATAAATTTCCCTTCAATAAGTATCTTAAAGGAAGAGTATATTATCTTTCAGTTAAAAACTAGTTTGAATCTGAAAATATGACAAAATAAAATATTAATTCCTGTAAAAAAATAATTTACTCCTGTTAATAATTAATTTTGATCTTTTCTTTTCGATGTGGATGTTGGGGAACAAATCAGTTTGTAAGTAGCATTTTATTTTTTTACTTTTCATTTCATCCCATGAATTCATTTTGAACCAGTCTACTCAATGGAAACTTGTGGCTCTTTTTCTTTGCTAAATTTCTGAAAAGGAAGAAAAGATTACCTTTGAAAAAGAAGAAAATATTATCTTCCAATAAAAAACTATTAAAGGAGGAAATATCTTTCAATTAAAAAAAAGCTATTGAATCTGACATAGTACAATTATACTGTCGAACCTCAAGCAACCACCTCTCCCCAGCAACCTGTTCTCCAAAATATGAAAAGTTTTCAAGTTAAATCACTATATTTGGAACCTCTTATAAGTGACCACCTCTTGTAAGTGACCCGCAACCACTTTTAGAGCTAAAAGTTTGAAATTGTGTTTGGTTTTTTTAAACCTCCCGTAACCGACCACTTGACAGATAATAGAGCAGAAATTGGGTAATAAGGTGTTGTAACGATATGGGATTCCTGAGTTGTGCAAGACACAGAAACTTCTCAATGGGAAGTACTGGATTTTTTTCTCGAAATTGACCTTTTGCATGAATAGAACATTTAAAGCATGGAGTAGGTCTCTGCAGTTACCATATGCTGATGAGGCAAAATTTTGACCCATTATGGTCTAAGCTCTCATAAGTGAACACCTCCTATAAGTGACCACCCAGGCTTTACATTTTGGGTGGTCGCTTATGGGAGGTTCGACTGTAGTACTTTTCAATTCATAACATTTATTTTTTTTTAACCAATCTTTTTATTAATTTAAAGTTTCCTATTATTATTTTGTTTCTTTTTCTTTAATAAATTTATTGAAAGGAAGAAAATGTTATCAGTCAATTAAAAACTGTAATTGTGATTCTGAAATAACACAGTAAAATATTATTTTCTGTCAACAATAAAATATTAATTTCTTTTAATAACTGATTTTCATCTTTTCCATTTTATTGTCAATGCTGTGGAATAAATCAGGGTGTAAGTATCATTCTTTTTACTTTTCGATTCATTCCATCAATTTCTTTTGAACCAATGTGCTTAATGTAAAGTACCTAGTGATTTTGAATCTGAAGTAGCGCAATAAACTATATTAGTTCCTGTTAAGAAAAAAATGTTCATTCCAGTTAGTAATCTATTTTCCTCTTTTCCTTACTATGTGTTTGTTGGGCTACAAATCAGGTCGTAAGTATCATTCTTTTTATTTTCAATTCATCTCATCAATTTCTTTTGAACCAATGTACTAAAGATGGCTCAAAAACACCGTTAATTTTAGCTTGAAGTACTTATATTTCAAACATGGCATGGTGAAACACTTTTTTATTGTTGAATTTTGATACTTAGGATAAGATGCAACTTTTGGCAAAGTTTAGTTCAAACAATTTTTTACATGGGGTTCAGAGCCACCTTAAATTTTGGAAAATTTAAGGTGGCTCTGAACCCCATGTACAAAATGTTTTTAGTCCTGCTTTTTAAAAAAAAAAATAATAGAAAAGGGTTCCATTGTGCCAGTTTTGAAATATGAGTGGTATTTAAAGCTAAAATTAAGGATGTTTTTAGCAGGTCATATCATCGCTATATGGTAACATAAAGTGCCAGAAATAATTATAACAACATGTTAACCAAAAATTGGGCAGGTTTTTGATACCCTGATAAAGAGTGTTTATAATGACCCATACAAATCTACATCTTGTCAAGTTCTGGAACTTTTTTAAGCCACTTTATTGTAAAGTTACTTAGGTGTCTTGTGTTTCTTTTTCTTTGATGAGTTTTCTTATACGGAAGAAAATATGTTACAATTAAAATCTATTTTGAATCTTAAATAACATAATAAAATATTCATTCTTGTTAGCAGTAAACTATTAATTTCTGTTGGTAATTGATTTTCTTTTCCATTTTATCATCAATTTTTGGGAAAACATCAGGCCGTGAGTATCATTCTTTTTACTTTTCACTTCACATTAATTTCTTTTGAACCTATCTCTTAATGTAAAGGTGTCTGTTGGTCGTTTGTTTCTTTGTCTTTAATGATATTTTTACAGGGAGAATATATTATCTTTCAATAAAAAAACTACTTGGATCTGAAGTAAGAAAATAAAATATCAATTCCTGTTATTAATAAGATATTAATTCCAGGTAATAATTTTAATTTTTTGCAATAAATCAAATTGCCTTTGAAGGAGACACAATGGTCTTTTCACTTTAAGAAATCTTTTTTCTTTCTTGAACTAAATTAATTTTAATGAGTCCTTCAGATATTTGGGTTTTTAAAATCTCAGTTGATCAAGTAATGCATTTTACCTTCAATTAGAAACTATTTTGAATCTGAAATAACACAATCAAATATTTATTCCTATTTAATAGCAATAGAATATAAATGCCTGTTACTAATCGATTTTCATTTTTTCTATTTTATTGTCAATCTCGGGGAACAAACCAGGTCGTAAGTATAATTTGTTTTACATTTCAATTCATCACATGAATTTCTTTTGAATCAATCTATCTGACCTAAAGTTACCTACTGTAGTGATCTTGTATTTTTTTGCCTTTAATAAATTTCTTAACAAGACCTAATCTATTTAGTGTAAAGTTACTTTATGTGGTCTTGTTTTTCTTTTTCTATAATTAAGTTCTTGAAAGGATGAAAACATCAACTTTCAATTAATTTAACGACTAGTTTGAATTTGAAGTAATACAATAAAACATTAATCCATATCAACAATAAAATAGTAATTTTAATTATTTTAATAATTGATTTTCATCTTTTCCATGTTAATGTCGGTGCTGGGGAACAAATCAGGTCGTAAGTATCAGTTTTTTTTACTTTTCAATTCATCACAGCAATTTCCTTTGAACTAATTTACTTAATGTAAAGTAACCGAGTGGTCCTTTGTTTCTATTTTCTTTATCTTTTTCTCTGTATTTGTGATGCATGACATCTTTTAAATTTTACAATGCCTGTTACAATATTCCCGTCAATAAAAGCTAAGGTGCCATGTTTATTATTTTTTCGAGTTTCTATACGTCATGCTTGCTGTAATTTTTTTCCTTCTGTGTAGTGAAGCCTAAAAGCTTTAGCATATAATGTAATTCTGTAATTAGCTTTGAGTTCTAGTGCTAGTTGTGTGTGTGAACGTTATTTTTAGTACTAACATTACATGTAGTAGTGTGCTTGTAAATGATCTTTTTTGGTTTGTGCTATAAAAAGGTGAAAAACGCATTGCAAGCAGCACGTACTATTAAGTATTGTATTAGCATCAAGTTTGTAAGAGAGAAGGTTAAATGAAAATATTGTAAGTAATGATAGAAATCAAATTGTCCATTAGTTTGTAGGTGTTTGTACTGTAAGTAGTTTCAGCCGGGTTTTGTTGTGTGTTAACAAATAAATGAAATTAAAAAATCTTTGATAATTTTTCTTATGTAGAAAAAAATTTTATTGTGTTTTCATTTAAACCTATTTTGAACCTGAAAAAGCAAAATAAAATATTCATTTCTACCAGTATTACCAATAATTTATTTTCATCTTTTCCATTTTTATCATCAATGTTGGGGAACAAATTAGGTTGTAAGTATCATTCTTTTTACTTTTCAGTTCATCACATCAATTTCTTTTGCACCAATGTACTTAATGTAAAGTTATGTAGTGATCCTAGTGACTACCTAGTGGTTTTTCTTTTTCTTTTCTAAATTTCTTAATATGAAGAAAATGTTATCTGTGAATCAAAAAATACTCTAAATCTGAAGTAACACAATAAAATATTAGTTCATGTTAACAATAACATAGGAATTCCTTTTAGTGATTGATTTTCATTTTTTTCCATTTTATTGTTGATGTTGGGAAACATATCAGCTGGTATGTATCATTCTTTAAATTTTTCAATTCATCATATCAATTTCGTTTGAACCAGTGAACTTAATGTGAAGTTAGCTAATGATCTTGTGTCTCTTTATCTTTAATAAATTTCCTTAAAAAAGGAAGAGAATATTATCTTTCACTTAAAAATTAATTTCAATTTTGAATTAACACAACAGAGGATTAATTTCTGTTAACAATAAAATACTAGACCATGTTGATAATTACTTTTTTTATCTTTTCCTTTCCATGTGTTTGTTGGGGAACAAATCAGTTTGTAAGTATCATTGATTTCGTTTTACATGTTATTTCATCTCATCAATTTCTTTCAAACCAATTTACTCAATGTGGAGTCACCTAGTTGTCCTGTGTTTTGTTTCTTTACTACATTTCTTAAGAGGAAGAAAATATTATCTTTTAGCAAAAAAGCTATTTTTATATAAAATATTAACTCCTATTAACAATACAATTACATTGCTTGAGTAATATCCTCTGCGGAGGCTAAGAAAGAATCAGAAAAACGTACGCACAAATTGAAAGACATCTCCTCTCAAATGTTCCCTCCACACTGTAAAAGAATTAAAAAAAACTTTTTAAAAACTGTAAAAGTGGCACTACAGAATATTTTGCTAAAATATTGGCCTCGTCAGTTGTACACCATATTGGATTCCGTAAATCTGTTCATATAAGTAGCCATGAAAGGTAATTGCTTAATAAACACGGTCACGGAATATCCTTCACGCTCTGTCGTGAGACCACTGCACCAGGAATGCAAAAATATGAATTAATTTTTGTTTTTTCTTTTCCATTGCTTTTTGGGGAACAAATCAGGTGGTAAGTATCATTCTTTTTACTTTTCAGTTAATTACATCAATTTCTTTTGAACTGATCTACTTCCTAATTGTAATATTTTAATTCGAACCAAGCTAGCCCCACCCATGAGATTTTAAAGTCACCCCTATCCCCCTACATGTACATGTATCTCTCTCCCATATCAGTGTTAACCATGTGTTGAGACTTGATTTCTTGCTAAGCCACAGCTATGAAAAGGAGGTGAGAGGAGTAGTACATGAGTTATAATTGTTATAAAAGAATTATGAGTTAGACAAAATAAATAAATAAATAAATATCTTAATTGACTATTCCCCCAGTTAGGCTTTTAGTGGCTAATGGAGACAAATGATGAAAAAAAGAGTGCAAATGAACATAAAATGGTTACAAATCCTAACTAGCAGGAGGCAGACCAGTTGGCTATTTACAAACGTGGCTGAGGAGTTGAACTAGGGTCTACCAAGAAACAACTCCACGTTAGTGGTCAGAGCGGGTCTTGAACCCTCCACCTCTGGATTTCAAGTCTGGTGCCCTAACCACTCAGCCATACTGCTTCCTCCTGCTATTATAGAAGTAATGCTTTCAGCTTGTGCTTTCTTGCAAGGTGTTTTCTAACTAGCAATACTAAAAGCATAGCGTGGTAATATGAAAATTATGTACTAGAAACTGCAATAGTTGAAATTTGTCACTTTTGACTTAGTTGCCCCCAATTTGCACTGTGTTGTGAAAACAAACATCATGACTATCATTAATATGGTCTATTATAATTTGTGAGTCGTGTGCAACACTGATTGCACAGAAGTTGTACCCATTTCAGTTACTTTTATCTACGTTAAACAACAATTCACCTGGTGGTATTGTTCTTATTTTGAATTGGCAATTTCCTGGATAGAGGAAATATTTAACTATTTAAAATATTAATTTTCTAGTTGACGGAGGTTGGTCATCTTGGGGAGCCTGGGACAGGTGTACTGTGACATGTGGTGGTGGAAATCAAGCTCGACAGCGGTCATGCACCAATCCTCCTCCACAAGGGGATGGCCATGATTGCCAAGGAATGCTTTCTGAGTCCCAGTCATGCAACATAAACAGTTGTCCAAGTAAGAAGGCCCTTAAGCCTCGCAATCATAAAGGTTGATCTTATGGTGCATTCCTTTGGGATCAATGATCCGAGATCACTTGAATCGTGGTGCATCAAAGAAATCCTTGAATCTACCCTCAGTTACATTGTAGGTTTCATTAGGTTCCTTTTATGCACAATAGGGACTTTAAGATACGCTACGGCGAGATGCTACTACGGCTACTTTGGCTGTGAGGGACTAGGCTAACAACGGTATTTCACCCGCCAAACTCAAATGATTAAGATTTTGCTGTACAGCAATGGTATGTGCAGTCTCTACGTGTCGTTACAAAAATGACTACTTTCAAGGAAACCAGAGATTATTCTACTTTCATACGAAATAGGCTTGATTAATGACAATGATTTCCTTCTCCTGTATCCGTTTTACATCTCCAGAACGCAGATTTGCCTTTTAGAACTTGATAGAAACGCCTGTAATTCCAATCACAAAACAAGATAATTACACTGATATAAAAAAGGTGGATTCAGTGTGTCGATTTCAACATGGACAGGTTGTGCGTACAATGATTACTTGATAAGCACGACAATACAAAACTTTTGATTATAATAAAATACATTTTGAACAGTAATAAACAATTATAGTTCAGCTTAGTACATACGAAGTTTTCTTGTCTACGGCTGTTTCGCCCGATACTAATATGACTGAATTGATCATCTCGCGATAAGTGTTAAAATCATTCAAATTTTCTGTACAAATGACAAAGAAATGATATCTTAGAACTGATTTTTGTGATTGAGAACTTTATCTTCAAACTGGGTTGTTCAAACAGTGAAAAATGCGTTAAAATGAGAAGTAAACAGCAGGCTTATACTCACGTAGTGAAGAGTACGTGAAACCTGGCACTTTCTGTAGTAGAAAGCAAGGTTACGGCAGGAAAGGTGTACTGGTACGCACGTCATGATGTCACCTGAAGCGATCTTCACTATCTGCGGCCGTACTACAGCCTAGCCGTACCATATCTTAAAGTCGCTATTATCTGAGTGATCTTGGAACGTTTATCTTGACAATACTTACTTATTCCTCTTCGTTCCTAGTGGAACATAGGTCCTCAACTAGAGCGTGCCACCTAACCCTATTTTGTGCAGTGCCCTTTTCCTCATTCCACGTGAGATGTTTCCTCTCCAACTCTGCCATTCTTGTGCGCCTCCAGGTGAGCTGGGGTCTACCTTTCTTTCGCTTCCCCTGTGGGTTCCACTCCAGTGCCCTCTTGACTACATGTCCATCTGGTCTCCTCAATGTGTGGCCGATCCAGCCCCAAGCTCTTTGTCTTATCTCTTGCTCTATCGGTCACTGCCCTGTTTGTCTCCAAAGCTCCTTGTTGCTGATTTTCCTAGGCCACCAAATCCGCAAGATGTTCCTCAGGCTCTTATTGATGAACACTTGCAACTTCTGCTCCAATCNGGTCATATCATCGCTATATGGTAACATAAAGTGCCAGAAATAATTATAACAACATGTTAACCAAAAATTGGGCAGGTTTTTGATACCCTGATAAAGAGTGTTTATAATGACCCATACAAATCTACATCTTGTCAAGTTCTGGAACTTTTTTAAGCCACTTTATTGTAAAGTTACTTAGGTGTCTTGTGTTTCTTTTTCTTTGATGAGTTTTCTTATACGGAAGAAAATATGTTACAATTAAAATCTATTTTGAATCTTAAATAACATAATAAAATATTCATTCTTGTTAGCAGTAAACTATTAATTTCTGTTGGTAATTGATTTTCTTTTCCATTTTATCATCAATTTTTGGGAAAACATCAGGCCGTGAGTATCATTCTTTTTACTTTTCACTTCACATTAATTTCTTTTGAACCTATCTCTTAATGTAAAGGTGTCTGTTGGTCGTTTGTTTCTTTGTCTTTAATGATATTTTTACAGGGAGAATATATTATCTTTCAATAAAAAAACTACTTGGATCTGAAGTAAGAAAATAAAATATCAATTCCTGTTATTAATAAGATATTAATTCCAGGTAATAATTTTAATTTTTTGCAATAAATCAAATTGCCTTTGAAGGAGACACAATGGTCTTTTCACTTTAAGAAATCTTTTTTCTTTCTTGAACTAAATTAATTTTAATGAGTCCTTCAGATATTTGGGTTTTTAAAATCTCAGTTGATCAAGTAATGCATTTTACCTTCAATTAGAAACTATTTTGAATCTGAAATAACACAATCAAATATTTATTCCTATTTAATAGCAATAGAATATAAATGCCTGTTACTAATCGATTTTCATTTTTTCTATTTTATTGTCAATCTCGGGGAACAAACCAGGTCGTAAGTATAATTTGTTTTACATTTCAATTCATCACATGAATTTCTTTTGAATCAATCTATCTGACCTAAAGTTACCTACTGTAGTGATCTTGTATTTTTTTGCCTTTAATAAATTTCTTAACAAGACCTAATCTATTTAGTGTAAAGTTACTTTATGTGGTCTTGTTTTTCTTTTTCTATAATTAAGTTCTTGAAAGGATGAAAACATCAACTTTCAATTAATTTAACGACTAGTTTGAATTTGAAGTAATACAATAAAACATTAATCCATATCAACAATAAAATAGTAATTTTAATTATTTTAATAATTGATTTTCATCTTTTCCATGTTAATGTCGGTGCTGGGGAACAAATCAGGTCGTAAGTATCAGTTTTTTTTACTTTTCAATTCATCACAGCAATTTCCTTTGAACTAATTTACTTAATGTAAAGTAACCGAGTGGTCCTTTGTTTCTATTTTCTTTATCTTTTTCTCTGTATTTGTGATGCATGACATCTTTTAAATTTTACAATGCCTGTTACAATATTCCCGTCAATAAAAGCTAAGGTGCCATGTTTATTATTTTTTCGAGTTTCTATACGTCATGCTTGCTGTAATTTTTTTCCTTCTGTGTAGTGAAGCCTAAAAGCTTTAGCATATAATGTAATTCTGTAATTAGCTTTGAGTTCTAGTGCTAGTTGTGTGTGTGAACGTTATTTTTAGTACTAACATTACATGTAGTAGTGTGCTTGTAAATGATCTTTTTTGGTTTGTGCTATAAAAAGGTGAAAAACGCATTGCAAGCAGCACGTACTATTAAGTATTGTATTAGCATCAAGTTTGTAAGAGAGAAGGTTAAATGAAAATATTGTAAGTAATGATAGAAATCAAATTGTCCATTAGTTTGTAGGTGTTTGTACTGTAAGTAGTTTCAGCCGGGTTTTGTTGTGTGTTAACAAATAAATGAAATTAAAAAATCTTTGATAATTTTTCTTATGTAGAAAAAAATTTTATTGTGTTTTCATTTAAACCTATTTTGAACCTGAAAAAGCAAAATAAAATATTCATTTCTACCAGTATTACCAATAATTTATTTTCATCTTTTCCATTTTTATCATCAATGTTGGGGAACAAATTAGGTTGTAAGTATCATTCTTTTTACTTTTCAGTTCATCACATCAATTTCTTTTGCACCAATGTACTTAATGTAAAGTTATGTAGTGATCCTAGTGACTACCTAGTGGTTTTTCTTTTTCTTTTCTAAATTTCTTAATATGAAGAAAATGTTATCTGTGAATCAAAAAATACTCTAAATCTGAAGTAACACAATAAAATATTAGTTCATGTTAACAATAACATAGGAATTCCTTTTAGTGATTGATTTTCATTTTTTTCCATTTTATTGTTGATGTTGGGAAACATATCAGCTGGTATGTATCATTCTTTAAATTTTTCAATTCATCATATCAATTTCGTTTGAACCAGTGAACTTAATGTGAAGTTAGCTAATGATCTTGTGTCTCTTTATCTTTAATAAATTTCCTTAAAAAAGGAAGAGAATATTATCTTTCACTTAAAAATTAATTTCAATTTTGAATTAACACAACAGAGGATTAATTTCTGTTAACAATAAAATACTAGACCATGTTGATAATTACTTTTTTTATCTTTTCCTTTCCATGTGTTTGTTGGGGAACAAATCAGTTTGTAAGTATCATTGATTTCGTTTTACATGTTATTTCATCTCATCAATTTCTTTCAAACCAATTTACTCAATGTGGAGTCACCTAGTTGTCCTGTGTTTTGTTTCTTTACTACATTTCTTAAGAGGAAGAAAATATTATCTTTTAGCAAAAAAGCTATTTTTATATAAAATATTAACTCCTATTAACAATACAATTACATTGCTTGAGTAATATCCTCTGCGGAGGCTAAGAAAGAATCAGAAAAACGTACGCACAAATTGAAAGACATCTCCTCTCAAATGTTCCCTCCACACTGTAAAAGAATTAAAAAAAACTTTTTAAAAACTGTAAAAGTGGCACTACAGAATATTTTGCTAAAATATTGGCCTCGTCAGTTGTACACCATATTGGATTCCGTAAATCTGTTCATATAAGTAGCCATGAAAGGTAATTGCTTAATAAACACGGTCACGGAATATCCTTCACGCTCTGTCGTGAGACCACTGCACCAGGAATGCAAAAATATGAATTAATTTTTGTTTTTTCTTTTCCATTGCTTTTTGGGGAACAAATCAGGTGGTAAGTATCATTCTTTTTACTTTTCAGTTAATTACATCAATTTCTTTTGAACTGATCTACTTCCTAATTGTAATATTTTAATTCGAACCAAGCTAGCCCCACCCATGAGATTTTAAAGTCACCCCTATCCCCCTACATGTACATGTATCTCTCTCCCATATCAGTGTTAACCATGTGTTGAGACTTGATTTCTTGCTAAGCCACAGCTATGAAAAGGAGGTGAGAGGAGTAGTACATGAGTTATAATTGTTATAAAAGAATTATGAGTTAGACAAAATAAATAAATAAATAAATATCTTAATTGACTATTCCCCCAGTTAGGCTTTTAGTGGCTAATGGAGACAAATGATGAAAAAAAGAGTGCAAATGAACATAAAATGGTTACAAATCCTAACTAGCAGGAGGCAGACCAGTTGGCTATTTACAAACGTGGCTGAGGAGTTGAACTAGGGTCTACCAAGAAACAACTCCACGTTAGTGGTCAGAGCGGGTCTTGAACCCTCCACCTCTGGATTTCAAGTCTGGTGCCCTAACCACTCAGCCATACTGCTTCCTCCTGCTATTATAGAAGTAATGCTTTCAGCTTGTGCTTTCTTGCAAGGTGTTTTCTAACTAGCAATACTAAAAGCATAGCGTGGTAATATGAAAATTATGTACTAGAAACTGCAATAGTTGAAATTTGTCACTTTTGACTTAGTTGCCCCCAATTTGCACTGTGTTGTGAAAACAAACATCATGACTATCATTAATATGGTCTATTATAATTTGTGAGTCGTGTGCAACACTGATTGCACAGAAGTTGTACCCATTTCAGTTACTTTTATCTACGTTAAACAACAATTCACCTGGTGGTATTGTTCTTATTTTGAATTGGCAATTTCCTGGATAGAGGAAATATTTAACTATTTAAAATATTAATTTTCTAGTTGACGGAGGTTGGTCATCTTGGGGAGCCTGGGACAGGTGTACTGTGACATGTGGTGGTGGAAATCAAGCTCGACAGCGGTCATGCACCAATCCTCCTCCACAAGGGGATGGCCATGATTGCCAAGGAATGCTTTCTGAGTCCCAGTCATGCAACATAAACAGTTGTCCAAGTAAGAAGGCCCTTAAGCCTCGCAATCATAAAGGTTGATCTTATGGTGCATTCCTTTGGGATCAATGATCCGAGATCACTTGAATCGTGGTGCATCAAAGAAATCCTTGAATCTACCCTCAGTTACATTGTAGGTTTCATTAGGTTCCTTTTATGCACAATAGGGACTTTAAGATACGCTACGGCGAGATGCTACTACGGCTACTTTGGCTGTGAGGGACTAGGCTAACAACGGTATTTCACCCGCCAAACTCAAATGATTAAGATTTTGCTGTACAGCAATGGTATGTGCAGTCTCTACGTGTCGTTACAAAAATGACTACTTTCAAGGAAACCAGAGATTATTCTACTTTCATACGAAATAGGCTTGATTAATGACAATGATTTCCTTCTCCTGTATCCGTTTTACATCTCCAGAACGCAGATTTGCCTTTTAGAACTTGATAGAAACGCCTGTAATTCCAATCACAAAACAAGATAATTACACTGATATAAAAAAGGTGGATTCAGTGTGTCGATTTCAACATGGACAGGTTGTGCGTACAATGATTACTTGATAAGCACGACAATACAAAACTTTTGATTATAATAAAATACATTTTGAACAGTAATAAACAATTATAGTTCAGCTTAGTACATACGAAGTTTTCTTGTCTACGGCTGTTTCGCCCGATACTAATATGACTGAATTGATCATCTCGCGATAAGTGTTAAAATCATTCAAATTTTCTGTACAAATGACAAAGAAATGATATCTTAGAACTGATTTTTGTGATTGAGAACTTTATCTTCAAACTGGGTTGTTCAAACAGTGAAAAATGCGTTAAAATGAGAAGTAAACAGCAGGCTTATACTCACGTAGTGAAGAGTACGTGAAACCTGGCACTTTCTGTAGTAGAAAGCAAGGTTACGGCAGGAAAGGTGTACTGGTACGCACGTCATGATGTCACCTGAAGCGATCTTCACTATCTGCGGCCGTACTACAGCCTAGCCGTACCATATCTTAAAGTCGCTATTATCTGAGTGATCTTGGAACGTTTATCTTGACAATACTTACTTATTCCTCTTCGTTCCTAGTGGAACATAGGTCCTCAACTAGAGCGTGCCACCTAACCCTATTTTGTGCAGTGCCCTTTTCCTCATTCCACGTGAGATGTTTCCTCTCCAACTCTGCCATTCTTGTGCGCCTCCAGGTGAGCTGGGGTCTACCTTTCTTTCGCTTCCCCTGTGGGTTCCACTCCAGTGCCCTCTTGACTACATGTCCATCTGGTCTCCTCAATGTGTGGCCGATCCAGCCCCAAGCTCTTTGTCTTATCTCTTGCTCTATCGGTCACTGCCCTGTTTGTCTCCAAAGCTCCTTGTTGCTGATTTTCCTAGGCCACCAAATCCGCAAGATGTTCCTCAGGCTCTTATTGATGAACACTTGCAACTTCTGCTCCAATCGTTTAGTCAACCTACAAGTTTCAGAACCATACAAGAGCACCGCCTTCACATTTGACCCAAAGACTCTCAGCTTGGTCTTGGTTGTTAGTGCTGTGGATCGCCATATTGTTCTCAGCATCGCAAATGCCTGTCTTGCCTTTCCAATTTGTGCCTGAATGTCCTCGTCAGTGCCTCCCTTCTTGCTTACAATTCTCCCAAGGTATGTTGACTCATCCACTTCCTCAATCCGCCCCTCTGCAACCGACACACCATCGCCACGTTTGGTACCAGTACGCAGCGACTTTGTCTCGGTGGCATTGATCTTCAGGCCTACCTTCGCACCTTGTACCTCCAAGACCCGTGTCTTATCCCTCATATCCTGTATTCTGTTCGACAGTAGGGTCAGATCATTGGCAAATTCAAGGTCTTCTAAGGATGTCGTAAAGGTCCACTGAATACCTGTACCTCTCTTCCTGTTCTCGTCACCCAATCCAGGGCGACCAGAAACAGCAGGGGAGATAGCAGGCAGCCTTGTCTTACCCCAGTCCTCATATTCAGTGGTTGGGTCCTCTTTCCTTTGTGTACCACCTGTGCGGAAAAACCTTCATAGAGAGCTCTGATGATGGTGACCACCTTGTCAGGCATCCCGTAATGCCGCAACAACCTCCACAAAACCTCTCTACTGATACCATCAAAAGCCTTTTCGAAATCTATAAAGTTGATATACAACAAGGACTGCCACTCGATGCTCTGCTCCACAATAATCCGCAGTGTTGCTATTTGATCCGTACAGCTTCAGCCAGCTCGGAAGCCCGCCGTTCCTCTCTCAATTTTTCATCCAGCACGATCTTGATGCGCTCCAGGATCACTCTGCAAAACACCTCACTTGCCATGTTCAGCAAAATGATGCCACACCAGTTTTTACAGTAGCTCAGATCACCTTTCTTGGGCAGCTTGATTATCAGACCCTTCCATTCCTCTGATATCTTCTCCTCACTCCATATCCTGTTGCATAGGTCCAAAAGAACCTCCTCTGACATGTCCCCTCCCGCCTTAATTGCTTCTGGTGGTATGTTGTCACATCCTGCAGCCTTCCCGTTTTCTAACTTCTTTATAGCATTCTTGATTTCAATACGTGTGATGCGACCTGTCCTGATGTTAAGCTCGTCATTTGGCTCCACCTCTGGCAGGTTGAATTACTCTTTGTGGTCAAGCACTGTTTGAAAGTGCTCCCTCCACCGGTGCATCTCCTCTGCTGACCTGAGCAACACGCCTGCCTCGTTTCTCACTGGCTTACATGTATTCTGAAACCTCCCACTTAGATTTCTGGTGATCTTGTACAAAGTCCTTGCATCACCTCTCTTTCCAGCCTCCTCGGCTCTCTCAGCTTCTGATTCCACATATACCCTCCTGTCTATCCTGCACCTCCTCTTCACCTCCCTATTCAGCTCTTGGTGCCTTTTCTTTGCATCTCTCTTCTGCTTTCTCGTTCTGGCCATGTTCGTGGTGTTTTCTACCACCTTTCACTGCCAAGCCTCCTTTCTGATCCACTCCTTGCTATTTGCCTTTGCCCTACCCAGCACCTGCTCGCAGCAGCTCCTCCTCCTCCATCAACTGCTGCAGACCCTCAAATCTGTTGTTCAGCGCTAGCTTGAATGCGTTCCTAACCTCCAAGTCTTTCAGCTTGCTGACCTCGAAACGCACTCGGCCATTTTCCCCTTTTCTCACTTTGGCAATCTTTAGCCTGAATTTTGCCATCAACAGATGGTGGTCTGACCCAACGTCTGCCCCATGCAGCACGCGAACGTCCTGCAGTGAGCTCCTCCATCTCCTGCTAAATGCCAGGTGGTCGATCTGGTTCACAATAACACCGTCAGGAGACCTCCATGTCTGCTTGTGACACTCCTTACGGGGGAACAGCATTCCACTGAATACCAGCTCATTTGCCTGACAGAAGTCTGCCCACCTCTCACCATTTTCATTCATCTCAGCTCTTGCCCCATGTTTACCCATCACCTCTCTACCTGTATTGTCCATCCCCACCTTAGCATTCATATCTCCCGTGATGATCACATCTCTGCATGGCACCTGCTCCAAAACCATCTGTAGCTGGTCATAAAAATCGTCCTTCGCCTCCTCCGTTGCCTCATTTGTTGGGGCATAGCATTGCAAGATGGTGACCTGCTGCCATCTCAAGTTGAACCTGGCTCTGATTATCCTCTCAAACGACAGTTCCCATTCCAGCAGGCATTGTGCAGCTTCTTTAGACAGAATGAAGCCAACTCCTCTCTCATGATTTTCACCTTCATCCATTCCTGAGTACAGCACAGTTTCTCCTGTAGCTATTCTCAACCTCCCACAAGAGTTCCATCTCATTTCATTTACTCCCAGAATACTAATACCATTTCTCTGCATCTCTTTGATCACCTAAGCACACTTACCAGTCTCAAACAATGTCCTTACATTTCATTGCCCGATCTTCACACACGCGGTTTATGCTTCATCGGCGGTTTATGTGTTAGCATCTTGTACCCCTGCTTCCCGATAGGGCGCAATGGTAATTCTAGTCTTGGGTTCTATAATATGTTCCTTTTTCCGGAAGCGGATTATCGGCCCACCGCCCAACCCCCAACCTGGAGGACCAGGGGCTGTTCTTCATCTGGCCTCTACCCTTCGACCAATCCGGCATAATTAGACCTGCCAGGGACCAAAGTCCCCGCCGGCACAGCTCTCTGGGTCATTGAGACACACAAGCTCCACCACCGCGACAAAGTGTCAGCCCAAGGTGAAGTATCTTGACAATGTCAATGGATCAACCTCTGCATTTATCGATGGCTGACTGACTGACTGATTGATTGCTCCATTGATTGATTAATTTATTGAGACTTTAAACAAAGTAGAAATGTAGTTGGTAAATTCGAAAAACTCAGGAAAGAAAATTATAACCTTGGTAAGTGCTGTAAGTATTTCAAAAATAGGTGGACATATTGTAAAATTATTTTGTCTGTTTTGATCTCCTACACATTTATTTGTAAGTTGATGGTGGCTGGAGCAAATGGAGTCAATGGAGTATCTGTACTAAGACAATCAGTGGCATACAAGCAAGAACAAGAGAGTGTGCTAATCCAGAGCCAGCACATGGTGGAAAGAAATGCAATGGAAACAAAGCAGTTGTGAGGGAGTGTAACAACATATCCAGCTGTCATGAAGGTAGACATTAACATTAGTAATTTACTGTGTGGATGGAATTTGCCACAAGTAATAGAATCAATTGGACAAGTTTCTAAAACAAAATCCATTGTATCATTTTCTTTCATCAGCATTTCCACTACGCTTTCAGTCAGGAGAGAACCCATCTCGTGGCATAATGCAAATCTACAAGAATGGTAGCTGGCAAAAACTTTGCACCAGAAGTTGGGATACATATGAAGAAAACTTGACCTGCAAGGCCATGGGTTACTCAGCTAACAATGTTGGTTATGATAATGGCATGTGGCACACAGACAGCAGCAATACTTCAAACACATCAATCCACTTTAATTGTACAACACTAACAGAATGCGGGAGTAACATTGATAGCAAAACACAATTAACATGTAAAGGTAATTAATTGATGTATGACTTAGCCTGGCCCAACTTTGTGTTTAATGTGTTAAGTCTAATTTGGTACAAATTACCATCCCCTCTATCTGCCTTAATTTCTTAGTTTTATGCAGTGAGTTCTCATTGAATACCGTAAACTTCCAAAAGTAACAACCCCCAAAAGTAGCGACCCCCTGAAAAAAGTGACCCCACCGAAAATAGTGAGACCGAGGTTCAATAGTCGAGCGAAAGTTACCATACCATCACTTGATTCGAGGTACTCTTCAACGGGAAGGTATCGCTCTTGCACAAAGCCTTGTGAAATGTCAATTCGATTCATGCTTTGTCAATTCATGTTGTGCTGTGTTAAAACAAAAACTGTAGAATTTTCATTCACTAACAGGAATGTACTAACAGAACTTTTCTGTAAATTAAAATTGACAACGCTGTATCATTTTCAATAAGAGCTAATTAAAAGGAACCTTTATTACGTGGATGAGAAGCAACCGCGTTAGAAATTGGGCTGCTTTGTTTTGTTTTTTTGCTTCAGGGTAGTCGTAAATTGCGACGCAAGTTGTTATTGGCTACAGGTAATTACATTGTAGCCAATGGTAGCTCCTGTTGTTTTCTATCCAGATTCAAGGTTGATTTTGTCGCAACAGGAGGGCTTCATGTGGTAAGCTCCGAGACGGCTCCACGGGATACACAAACCCTCAACTTGTCGCGAAATGTGAGCAAATTTTATGCGTGACAAGTTGTGAGTTTGATGAACGAGCAGCAAATCCAAAATTTGTTGCTCAAAGTAGACCTGCTCTCTAACTATTCGCAACAACAAAGTTGATCACGCAAGGTGAAAAACTCGAAACATCAGCCAAGTTGAGAGTTTTTGTATCGAATATATCGTCGCCGCCTTTAAGCGGTGATATACGAGATACGGATTTTTGTTTCTCGTATTTCGCTGCCTTTAGAACATAGCAAAACACCTTCATTTTTTTTTGTAGTGCACGTTAGGTGGACTGCATGTGTTCAAAGAAAATTTGAAGGTGTATAATAAAGAACCATCGAAATAACCTCTTGTTTAGTTATTAGTATAAACGTTGATTTCGTTGTTTTGAGCTTAATACATTTTCGTATTGCTTCGATTTGAAATAATTATATTTAAACCCGAACAAGCGTTTTGAACGCTTGAGGAAGGACTTGTTGTTTACCCTGCAACTTACTTCATCTGACCAAATGTCTCAAATGTATGTTGTTTATGCTTCCAGATCAGACAGCAGCGTCTTAAGAAACTAGCACTCATTTTTAAGAACGAGCAAAGCCATGCATAGCAAGCCGAATGAGAACTGTACGGCTCGTAGAAAACACGGAGTGACATTCGCAATAAACTGTTCAGAATAATAGAAAACAATATGTTGATTCAAGAGGATCCATGTGTTGTAATTCGATTCAGGCGACTCGTATGCAAAAAGCGTTCAGAAAATTACCAGCGTTCTGATTTCTTTTCTCACGTAGAAAGAGCGTGTTTGTTTGCTCGAGGTCGTTTTATCTATATCTGAATGAAAAGTTGTTTCTTTTCCAGTATAAGTGCTGTTTTAAAACGAGATTTTCAAGATGTTCATCCCAAGAATTTGCTGGCTTTACGTTAATTGTTTCGTCACAGCTCTCTGAATATATTTACATTACCTATCAATGCATTAAGGGAAGTCTCTGAATTTTGCTCTCTATGTGACTCCTATCAAGCCAAGATCACACAAGTCATCAGGAGCTTTTTTATATGTGAGAAATTCCCTTCACTCTTGTATTTACTTGTCTTTATTCCCGATATTTTAAGATCGTGTGACCGCAAGTTTGTTTTTCACTTCTGAGCACGTGCAAGGTGTCGCAGAAGAATCGTCGTAAATGTTATCGTAGCATAAA